CCCTCATGCTGGCTCAGGAATTCTGGGAGTTGAAGTCCACGAGTCATGAAGGGGCCAAAGTTTCCCTCATGCTGGCTCAGGAATTCTGGGAGTTGAAGTCCACGAGTCATGAAGGGGCCAAAGTTTCCCTCATGCTGGCTCAGGAATTCTGGGAGTTGAAGTCCACGAGTCATAAAAGAGCCAAGGTTGCCTACCCCTGTTATAGGGGGTACCTTGCTCAATAGTAGTAACTGTGAGAGGGATCTCGGAGTCCTAGTGGACAATCATTTAAATAGGAGCCAGCCGTGTGCTGCAGCTGCCAAAAAGGCCAACACAATGCTGGGCTGCATTAACAGGGATAGAATCAAGATCAGGTGAAATATTAATACCACTTTACAATGCCTTGGTAAGGCCACACTTGGAATACGGCATCCAGTTTTGGTCACCACGATGTAAAAGAGTACAGAGAAGAGCAACAAAGATGATCAGGGGACTGGAGGCTAAAACATAAGGAACGGTTGCTGGAATTGGGTATGTCTAGTTTAATGAAGGACGAGGGGGGACATGATAGCCGGGTTCCAGTATCTCAGGGGCTGCCCCAAAGAAGAGGGAGTCAAGCTATTCTCCAAAGCACCCGAAGGCAGGACAAGAAGCAACGGATGGAAACTAACCAAGGAGAGAAGCAACCTAGAACTAAAGAGAAACTTCCTGACAGTGAGAACAATTAACCAGTGGAACAACCTGCCTCCAGAAGTGGTGAATGCTCCAACACAGGAAGTTTTTAAGAAGAGACTGGACAGCCATCTGTCCGAAATGGTATAGGGTTTCCTGCCTGAGCAGGGGGCTGGACTAGATGACCTCCAAGGTCCCTTCCAACTTTATTATTATTATTATTATTATTATTATTACATTGGCTTGGGCCCTTCAGATGTTTTGCATCATAGCTTCCGTAAACAGCAGGATTTGAACTGGAAGACATCGAGACGGCACAGCCGTGGATTGCAGTTTTGAAAATAAAAGGGCAAAAGTTGGATTGGAGAGGTGTGGCAAAAATTACTGAGACGTTGCACGCCAAAGACCTTTTTAAAAAAAATAATAATAATTGAAGGAAATTTGTGGAATGTTGAGCATTTACTGGGCTTGGCCCCCAAGGACAGGTCCGCTCTGCCCCATAAGAACCACCACAAAAAAATAATAATAAAAATCCCTGTAGTAAATACAATACTCCCGACGAAGTATCAAATAATAAATTAGAAGGAGTCCATTGCAGGGGGATGACGGGAGAAGCCGGCCTCTCTCGGATGGTCGTCGTCACTGAGACTTGATTTCGGGATCCATCTCGGTCAGGACAGACAGGGACACTAACTGGATAAGGCGGGTCACGCGGGCTGGGAAAGAAAAGATCAGTCAGCATTAGGGTAGGGCTGGTGGTGAACGATTCAGCTAAGAAAAAGATGGTTGCAGGAGGAAAGCCACAAAGGATCTAGCAGGAAGCCGGTTCTAACAAACACCCTAGTTTCTCTAAGTCGGGTTGGCAACCTTAAACACTCAAAGAGCTACTTGGACCCCTTTCCCAGAAAAAAAGAAAACACTGGGAGCTGCAAAACTTGCACGTGCACGAGGAGGAGCTTGATTGAAGAGTTTAATTAAAAAGAAATAGAGGCTGCTGTGCATGAGTTCCCTCCCTCCCTCTCTCTTTGTCTCCCTCTTTATCTCCCCCCTCCCTCTCTCTGATCTGCTCACCTGGCAAACTGGCTTCACACTATCCTCCAACAAGCTGACACACATTCTTATTGGGCTGGCTCTCTCCTGCCCTTGGTCTGCCAGTCCTCTTCCCCCACTCAGTGTGTGAGAGAAAGAGAGAGAGTTGCTGTTTCCTGCTTCCTGCTGAGACGCAGCCAAAGCAGGAGTCCCGCCCAATAAGCTTGTCAGCTTGTCCGAGAACAGCGTGAGGCCACTCTCTTTTTTACACACAAACACGCACAGAGAGAGAAAAGGAAAGCGCAAGTGCCTCTCTCTGTCTGTCTCTGCAAATGGCGGAGGAGGCTCAAAAAGCCACATGCGGCTCCGGAGTCGTAGGTTGCCGACCCGCCCTAAGTGATCCGTTATATGTATGCGATAATAGTATTCCAAACTTTGAGGGGCTACCACAAGGAAGAGGGGGTCAACCTATCCTCCAAAGCACCCGAAGGCAGGACAAGAAGCAACGGATGGAAATTAATCAAGGAGAGAAGCAACCTGGAACTAAGGTGAAACTTCCTGACAGTTAGAACAATTAACCAGTGGAACAACCTGCCTCCAGATGTTGTGAATGCTCCAACACTGGAGGCTTTTAAGAAGAGACTGGACAGCCCCTTGCCTGGAATGGTATAGGGTCTTCTGCTTGAGCTGGGGGGTTGGACTAGAAGACCTCCAAGGTCCCTTCCAACTCTTGCTATTTTCAAGTTATAGTCAAGGATACCGTCCTGAAGACGTTGGGGCTAAATTAAATAATTCCTCTTTATTAACTTCCCCCTCATTCTAAATCGGAAACCCAAGTGGGAAGATCTTTATATGGTGTTACTTATTTGGTGGAATTCTTCCATCTCCTGCAAAGGGAGATGTTCTTTGGAATATTTGGAAGTCTGGGAAAAGGGGGCAAAAAAGAAAAATGGCTACCGAATCTATTTATTCTCATTTCCCAGCTTCTTCTCTTGGTTAGTCGTCGTGGCGGTTCTACACCAGTCCTCGACTTACTACAGTTTGTTTAATGGCCGTTCGAAGTTACAACGGCACTGAAAAATGTGACTTGCTGCCGTTTTTCACACAACCGTTGCAGCATCCCCGTGGCCACGGGATCAAAATTTGAATGCTTGACCACTGGCTGATATTTATGACGGTCGCAGCGTCCCGGGGTCACATGATTCCCCTTTCGTGACTTTCTCATAAGCCAGGGGTGTCAAACTCAATTTCATAGAGGGCCGCATCAGCATTGCGGTTGCCCTTGGGGGGGCCAGGTGGGTGTGGACAGGATGGGTGCGGCCTACTGGGTGGGCGTGGAGGGAGTGGATATGGCCTATTGGTGGGCATGGCCAGCTCTACATCATTCATGTCAAGGGGGCCTGTGGGGGCCTGGGCAGGAGTGGGACAGATCTGAGGCTCTCTGGCAGAAGAGGGTGGACCGGGGCAAGCACCAAGGCATGGTCCACTGGAAGGGCCTGCTGAAACCTCCCCTGGAGCCCATCAAGCCGGATATGTGAAGTAGGCGAGGGCCATTTGCTGGCCACTTCCAGGCGATGGTGCATTTCTTCATTCCTCACAAAGGGCGACACCTCCCCAGCATGCACCCAGGGGGCGAGGCCAACGCAGCAGGAGCTGGTTCCTCACTGTTTCCAGACGGCGTTGTGGAGCTAAGACTGAATGTGTTTCGGCATAGATGGCCACCACAAAATTGTACATTGGCTCCTGGCCGGCCTGGGCCAGGGCCAAGGCAGCGGGGGCCGTTCCCTCACTGTTTCCAGGATGGCTTCGCGGGCCACATGAAACCACTTCGCGGGCCGCATCTGGCCCCCGGGCCTTGTGTTTGACATGTCTGTCATAAGCAAAAGTCAACGAGGAAGCCAGATTCGCTTAACGGCCGTGTTACTAACTTGACAATTGCAGTGATCCACTTTTAACAGCTGTGGCAAGAAAGGTGTAAAACGGGAGGAAACTCATTTAACACACGTCTCGCTTAGCAGCGGAAATTTTGGTCTGTATTTGCGGGCCTTAAAGTTGGGAACTCCCTGTGGTGGGGGCCCACTGAAGACAGACCTCAGAAATCCCCAGCTCCGATTCACTCACCCGTCACTCGCCGTAAGCAGTTCGGCCTTTTCTGGTCTGGGACCCTCACCACCAGGAAGTAGACCGGAAGTCCAGAGGCCGCTATGGCAATGCCGATGGCCGAATTGATGGGGTCGGTATAGAGCGGTACTGCCACCAGGAAGATGGTGCAGAGGCAAAAAATGATGGGGAAAACGATCGTCAACTAAAGGAAAGGGAAGTAAGAATTGGTTGAAGTCTCACGACCAGCTCCCATCCATCACGCTACGCCAGGGCTTTTCAACCTTTTCACCCATTGTACCACTTTTAGGATATGGCAACATCCGAGTACCACCAGTCGCCTAGCAAGGTGTCAAAAACTTGATGACCCAAAAAAAAAAAAGGAAAAAAGCGATAAAGTACAGGTACTCATCGACTTACAACAATTCACTTAGTGACTGTTCGAAGTTACAATGGCACTGAAAAAAGGGCCCCCCAAGCCACAGCCGAGCAAGACACCTGCCTGCCAACCCGGCGGCGCTCTTCCTCCTGTCCGAGGTTTTCATTGTTGTGAGCATTTCTGTTGAGGATTGGCAGCGGGGGTGGGATGGGGGGGGTGTTTGGTTTTTATTCCCCCCCCCCCGTCTGCTGGGTGATTGCAGCAGGTTTTGGTCACTTCACATGACCCTGGGACACTGTGACCGTCATAAATATGAATCAGTTGCCAAGTATCTGAATGTAAATCACAAGACCCTGGAGATGCTGCAACATTCCAGCTGATCGGCGCTTCTTCTGGGCTCAGCAGAAGTGCCAGGATCAGTGCTGCTTTCCAGCTGATTGGTGCTTCTTCAGGGCTCAGCAGAAGCACCAGGATCAGTGCCGAGCTTCAGTTTAACGGTGGCAACGGGAGTTTTTAAACATTACACAACTAAGGCCGCAGATCCCTCTACCTTGAGTGGACGTTCTCTAGAAGGTTCCTTCCAGCGAAGGTACAGTTGCCCGGCGATGGACAGGCCCACAAAGAACCAGTAACTGAAGCTGTAGTAGTTGATGAGTTGAAAGATGTCTTCCACGCAAAGATAAATCAGAGCCATGGCTCCCTGCAACAGACAGACGTGACACCAGGGTGAAGCCACGTTCGTCACGATTAGCCGAATAACATTTTGGTTTTCTAGCAGCTTACCATCCACCCACATCGCTCGGAAAGTATAAGACGTGTCTCCAAAAAATAACAACCAATCCAAGGAGCAGAGTTCAAGACACCCAGTTCTGCCTACATCTGTCCCAAGGCACCGCAGTGACCTCCATGACGGGTGACTTGGATCGTTTTTTAGAGAATGACTCATGACTCTCCCTTCCTGGAGCTGAATCTGTGGTTTCTCACATAGCTGCCTGTTGACAGTTCACACCTACTCTTCCCGCCGATGAAGGAATTGGCTGGCTACTTGAAGGCAGCACTAAATGTCTGAAGGCCTCTGGCTCAACCCATCGCTTTTTTATCGATTGAATCTTCTCCATTCCCTCCCACCATCTCACCCTGCAAAACCTCGGCTCAGCTGTTTGGGAAAACTGTAGAGAAGCAGGACCACACCAGAAGGGAGGAATGAACCATCAGGAAGGGATTTCCAAGGTTTGAGAAGAATGCAGAATTACAGAGTTGGAAGGGACCTTGGAGGTCTTCCAATCCAACCCCCTGCTCAAGCAGGAGACCCTATACATTCGAGACAAATGGCTGTCCAATCACTTCTTTAAAAAAACTCCAGTGTTGGACCACCCACAACTTCTGGTGGCAAGCTGTTCCACTGGTTAATTGTTCTCACTGTCGGGAAATGTCTCCTTAATTCTAGGCTGGTTCTCTCCTTGACAGATTTCTATCCTACCCTATCACTTTGTGTCTTCCCCTCTTCTTTGTGTCAGCCCCTCAAGTACTGGAAGATGGGGACAAGACTCTGCCCTCGCGCCCCGTCGCACACAGATGATGCTGCAGGGCGCAGGCGGAGGGTGTGGCCACCATGGTGCTGCTGGGCCGCCATGGCGATCTGCTGCAGTGGACCATGGAGGCGATGGGTGGCCCTGCGGGCGGGGGGGGCTGGAGTGGGGTGGGTGGAGCTTGGGTGGGGCAGGGCAGGAATGGGTTTTGGGCACTCGGTTTCTAAAAGGTTGGCCATCACTGTCCTAGGATCATCTCGCCCATTGCTAATCGCACGCTGCCCCCGAAGCACCATTACTCCTGCCTGCCACCCACTTGGCTGGGGGCTATTTGTCCCATGCAGCCAAAGGCCCGGGTCAAACAGTGCCTGGGTGGGAGGGCCAGGGACCCACTGGCCTTGGAGAATGGCCAGAGGAGGGCCAGCGGAGGAGAAACACCGGCTGTAAGTCCGCTGAGATGGGTGGCTGGGGGCGAAGGGGGCACGGCCAAGGGTCAGTGCCCAAATGTCCCGTTCCGTAGCTGGAGTCCATCAGATGAAAAGTTCAACAGTTAGGGAAGGTGATTGCTTCTCATACCGGGTGAATCGCTCAAGACAACTAGGAAAAGGGACGGGGGATTTGAGGCCCGATTGCTTTCTCTCCGCCAAGCCAAGTGGATCCCTGCGTGCATTCTCTCACAGGGTACCTTTGGACTTACGTTAAAAAGCAGGGCTGGCACAGGGGTGAACCGTTCCACGTGGATCATGCAGATGGCATCTGGCAGGTGTCCTTCCCGGGAGCCGACGAAAAACAATCTGTGGAGCAAGAACGGGTAAGCGTCTTAAGTTGCCCACTGACCAATTCGGAAGGCAAAGATGCACGACTCCTAAAACATAACGGAGAACGATTGCAGGAATTGGGTATGTCTAGTCCAGGGGTAGGAAACCTTGGCTCTTTTATGATTCTGGGAGTTGAAGTCCACGAGTCATAAAAGAGCCAAGGTTGCCTACCCCTGGTCTAGTCTAATAAGGAGCACTAAGGAGGACATGATAGCAGGGTTCCAACATCTCAGGGTTTGCCCCAAAGAAGAGGGAGTCAAGCTATTCTCCAAAGCGCCTGAAGGCAGGACAAGAAGCAACGGGTGGAAATTAATCAAGGAGAGAAGCAACCTAGAACTAAGGAGAAACTTCCTGACAGTTAGAACAATTAACCAGTGGAACGGCTTGCCTCCAGAGGTTGTGGGTGCTCCAACATTGGAGGTTTTTAGATTGGACAACCATTTGTCTGAAATGGAATAGGGTCTCCTGCTTGAGCAGGGGGTTGGACTAGAAGACCTCCAAGGTCCCTTCCAACTCTGTTATTCTTTAAGCCTGGAGGCTAAATCGTAGGATGAACAGCGAAGGGAACTCGGTATGTTTAGTCTAATAAGGAGAAGACTTAGGGGAGACGTGATAGCCGTCTTCTACTACGGGGGTCTTCAAACGTGGCCCTTTGATGACTTGTGGACTTCAACTCCCAGAATTCCTCAGCCAGGCATGCTGCTGGCTGAGGAATTCTGAGAGTTGAAGCCCACAAGTCATCAAAGGGCCAAGTTTGAAGACCCCTGTTCTAATACTTGAAGGCTGTCACAGGGAAGAGGGCACCGACTGATTCGTCGTAGCATCTGAGGGCAGGATAAGAAGCAATGGGGTGGAAACGCATCGGAACAGGGAACGTTTTTGATTTTCAGAGGATTATTCCCCTGCAAAGCAGACGCTTAAAAATTAATTTGGGAAGCCTCTTGAGCAGTAAAGAGAACACACGTCTAATGGTTTACCTGGAAGCAGCCAGAATGGAAGCATTAAGGCCTCCAAAGCAGGATAGAGCCACAGCAAGGGGGATGGTCCAACTCATCACTCCAAAAACCTGATCACCGAAAGTCTAAAAAAAAAAAAAAGAGTTTTCAATAAGCTGCTGGCACCGACTTTATGCGAGAGCATGTGTGGACAATTATGGCAACTTTATGATCAGTGGACTTCAATTCCCAGAATTCCTGGCTGGCTGGGGAATTCTGGGAGTTGACGTTGCCAAGGTTGAACAATCCTGGCTGGCCTAGCTAGCTGGGGAATTCTGGGAATTGAAGTCCAGAGGACATAAAGTTGCTGGGGTTGAACAATCCTGGCTGGCTGGGGAATTCTGGGAGTTGAAGTCCACAGGTCTTAAAGTTGCCGAGNTTGAACAATCCTGGCTGGCATGGCTGGCTGGGGAATTCTGGGAGTCGAAGTCCAGAGGTCTTAAAGTTGCCGAGGTTGAACAATCCTGACTGGCATGACTGGCTGGGGAATTCTGGGAGTCGAAGTCCACAGGTCTTAAAGTTGCCGAGGTTGAACAATCCTGACTGGCATGACTGGCTGGGGAATTCTGGGAGTCGAAGTCCAGAGGTCTTAAAGTTGCCAAGGTTGAACAATCCTGGCTGGCATGGCTGGCTGGGGAATTCTGGGAGTCGAAGTCCAGAGGTCTTAAAGTTGCCAAGGTTGAACAATCCTGACTGGCATGACTGGCTGGGGAATTCTGGGAGTCGAAGTCCAGAGGACTTAAAGTTGCCGAGGTTGAACAACCCTGCTTTAAGGGGCAATCCGCTGCTGGATTCCACTGATGTGTCTCAGGAATGGGACGGGATGAGCTCACTAACCACAGCCACCGCATCGCTCGAAAGGATCTCCGTCTTGCTCAGGACCGCGTAGTAGGCCACGTTGGTCATGATGTAGATCACCGTGACGATTGGCATGGATATGCCAATGGAGAGGGGAAGGTTCCTGCGGAGTAGTGGAAAGAGAATATTGTCACCATCCGGGCTCTCTGCCGCGGCTATCCCACATGTTCTGTGGTTTGCCTAACACCCGCTTCAGAGCAGTCCGGGCTAGGAGAGGCAGCTTGAGAAACTAAATGTATTTATTTAATTTGATTTTTTTTTTTGCCCTGCCTTTTTTTATTTCTATAAACAACTCAAGGCGGCGGGAAATATCTAATGCTCCTTCCTCCTCCGTCTTCCCCACAATAACAACAGCCCTGTGAGGTGGGTTGGGCTGAGGGAGAATGATTGACCCAAAGACACAGACACCCCCCAAGCTGGCTTTCATGCCCAAGGTGGGACTAGAACTCCCCGTCTCCTGGTGATTGGTCTAAAGTCACCCAGCTGGCTTTCATGCCCAAGGTGGGACTAGAACTCCCCGTCTCCTGGTGATTGGTCTAAAGTCACCCAGCTGGCTTTCATGCCCAAGGTGGGACTAGAACTCCCCGTCTCCTGGTGATTGGTCTGAAGTCACCCAGCTGGCTTTCATGCCCAAGGTGGGACTAGAACTCCCCGTCTCCTGGTGATTGGTCTAAAGTCACCCAGCCGGCTTTCATGCCCAAGGTGGGACTAGAACTCCCCGTCTCCTGGTGATTGGTCTAAAGTCACCCAGCTGGCTTTCATGCCCAAGGTGGGACTAGAACTCCCCGTCTCCTGGTGATTGGTCTGAAGTCACCCAGCTGGCTTTCATGCCCAAGGTGGGACTAGAACTCCCCGTCTCCTGGTGATTGGTCTAAAGTCACCCAGCTGGCTTTCATGCCCAAGGTGGGACTAGAACTCCCCGTCTCCTGGTGATTGGTCTAAAGTCACCCATTCGGCTTTCATGTCCAAGGTGGGACTAGAACTCCATGCCTCCTGGTGATTGGTCTAAAGTCACCCATTCAGCTTTCATGCCCAAGGTGGGACTAGAACTCCCCGTCTCCTGGTGATTGGTCTAAAGTCACCCATTCAGCTTTCATGTCCAAGGGTCTCCTGGTGATTGGTCTAAAGTCGCCCATTCAGCTTTCATGCCCAAGGTGGGACTAGAACTCCGTCTCCTGGTGATTGGTCTAAAGTCACCCAGCTGGCTTTCATGCCCAAGGCGGGACTAGAACTCCCCATCTCCTGGTGATTGATCTAAAGTCACTCATTCAGCTTTCATGCCCAAGGTGGGACTAGAACTCCCGGTCTCCTGGCGATTGGTCTAAAGTCACCCATTCAGCTTTCATGCCCAAGGCGGGACTAGAACTCCCGGTCTCCTGGTGATTGGTCTAAAGTCACCCAGCTGGCTTTCATGCCCAATGTGGGACTAGAACTCCCGGTCTCCTGGTGATTGGTCTAAAGTCACCCAGCTGGCTCTCATGCCTAAAGTGGGACTAGGACTCACCATCTCCTGGTTTCTAGGCCAGCACCTTAACTACTACACCAGTGATGGCAAACCTTTTAGAGACCGAGTGCACAAACTGCAACCCAAAACCCACTTATGCATCCTCGAGTGCTGGGTGGGTGTGGTGGCCCATTGGCTGGGTGTGGCCCATTGGGTGGGTGTGGCCCATTGGGTGGGCGTGGCTGCGGTGGTAACGGCAGACTGGGTGGGACTAAAAAGTTCAATCAATCAATTCCAACTTTGCAAGATCTTTTTTTTCCCCGCGAGAAGTTGAAATTGACTGATTGATTGAACCTTTTTTTTTTTTTTTGCACACGGCAGCAGAGGCCTAAAGTGAAAAAGTTTTATAAAACCCAGCTGAAGGCCTAGGACTGGGGCGACAGCGCGCGTGCCCCAGAGAGGACTCTGCATGCCACCTCTGGCACCCATGCCATAGGTTCGCCACCACTGGAATATACCAAACCAGCTTTGGCTAAATTTCTTGGCTAAGCTCTCCTATTCCCTTCACTTCTGGTGGCAATGAGTTCTCCTGGCTTTCCTTTCATTTCATAAAAGGATGGGGAGAAACTCCCAACACCGGGGTTGAGAATTCATTTCTTCCTTCCATTAAAAAAAACAAAAACAAAAAATCCCAGCTCAGTGGGAAAATCTTGTGCTTCCTTCGATTTCATCATCAAACTTTCTGGTCTTGCAAGAGACCTCGTTGGGGGCGAAAGGCTGCTTTTTTGGGGGGAAATTGCAGGATTTCTTCCTGCTTTTGCCTTCTCTGGGAAATCTGTCTTAGCAGAAACTGTACGAACTTTTTAGATTCCGTCAACTTGTTAAGAGGTATGCTGCAATGCCTACCTTTGCCCACTGGGTGGCACCCGCTCTCCACCTCATTCCACCCAAATAAAATCTCCCAGGAATTTCAATTAAGGAAAGAACAAAGCTTGGGTATTTCATAGAATCATAGTGCTGGAAAGGGACCTCAGAGGTCTTCTAGTCCAACCCCCTGCCTAAGGGGCAGTCTTTTTACCCAGGGCACTTTAGAGAATAGATGATAGATAGATAGATAGATAGATAGATAGATAGATAGATAGATAGATAGATAGATAGATAGATAGATAGATAGATAGATAGATAGATAGATAGATAGATAGATAGATAGATAGATAGATAGATAGATAGATAGATATGGATGGAGATAATGATAATTAATAAATGTTAGAGATGATTGATATAGATGATAATTAGATGTAGAAGTGGAGATAATGAGATAGATAATGATAGATAATGAGATAGATGATAGACAGAGAGATAATAATTGATAAATGTGAGAGATAATGATAGATTGATAGATGATATATACATAATTAGATAGATGTAGAGATAGATATAGATTAGATAATGATAGATTCATAGATGATCATTAGATGTAGCTGTAGCTAGGAGAGAGAGAGATAATATAGATGACATGATAGATAGATAGATAGATAGATAGATAGATAGATAGATAGATAGATAGATAGATAGATAGATAGATAGATAGATAGATAGATAGATAGATAGATAGATAGATAGAGACAGATGATAGACAGATGATAGATAGATGATGGATAGAGACAGACAGACAGATGATAGATAGATAGATAGATAGATAGATAGATAGATAGATAGATAGATAGATAGATAGATAGATAGATAGATAGATAGATAGATAGATAGATAACCACAATCACAGCCCAGCTACAACACAGATAGTCCTCGTATTACCACCACAATTGAGCCCAAAACCTCAGGCTGTTAAGTGAGACAAATGGCTGTCCAGTCTCTTCTTAAAAACTTTCAGTGTTGGAGCATTCACAGCTTCTGGAGGCAGGTAGTTCCACTAGTTAATTGTTCTGATTGTCAGAACAATTTCTCCTTAGTTCTAGGTTGCTTCTCTCCTTGGTTAGTTTCCATCTGTTGCTTCTTGTCCTGCCTTCAGGCGCTCTGGAGAATAGCTTGACTCCCTCTTCTTTGGGGCAGCCCCTGAGATATTGGAACACTGCTATCATGTCCCCCCTCGTCCTTCTCTTCATTAAACTAGACATCCCCAATTCCAGCAACCGTTCCTCGTATGTTTTAGCCTCCAGTCCCCTGATCCTCTTTGTTGCTCTTCTCTGCACTCTTTCTAGAGTCTCAACACCTTTTTTTACATCGTGGGGATCCAAAATTGGATGCCGTATTCCAAGTAAATGAGCCATTTGCCAAGCCTCCAAATTTTGATCCTGCGACTAGGGTGGGAGGGCTGCTGCAATGGTCATTAGTGTGAAAAACGGTCGTAACTCGCTTTCCCCAGTGCCGTCGTAACTTTGAACGGTCACCAAACGAATAAGTCGAGGCTTACCTGTCATTTTAACAAGGGGGAGAGCGCTAGTGTTTCTCAACTTGGGCGACTTTGAGATCGTTGGACTTCAACGCCCACGCTTCAATTTCAACGTCAATTCATTCCAGTTCAAAATTCAGTTCCCGTGCTGGCTGGGGAATTCTGGGAGTTGAAGTCCACCTCCCTCAAAGTCACCCAGGTTGAGAAACACAAGTCTAGGCAAAAACAAATTGGGGGGAAAAAATGGAACTTTGATCTTATATATGTTGACGTTAGCAAGGCGACTGTATGCATAGAAATTGGAAGGATGGTTCCCTGTGGTTCCCTGTGGACGAAAGGCTGCAGAAGCTGATGGAGATGGCTAAGCTGGCAGTTTTGATTAAAGAAAAAAAAATAAGTACTTTTGTTTCTACGTGGAGACCGCTTCAGGACTTTGTGCTTGAGGTGGGTGGAAAAAAACCGAAGCTTTGATTTTGGGTTTCACCGATTAGATTGATTTGTTGCTACAGAAATGGCTACTTTATTTGTCATTGTTAGTTGCGAAGTCATGTCCGACCCATCGCGATTCCATGGACAACAAAAAAGTAAGGTTCTACATTTAGGCAAGAAAAACCAAATGCACAGCTATAGTATACGGGGTACCTTGCTCAATATAGTAACTGTGAGAGGGATCTCGGAGTCCTAGTGGACAATCACTTAAATATGAGCCAGCCATGTGCTGCAGCTGCCAAAAAAGCCAACAAAGTGCTAGGCTGCATTAACAGAGGGATAGAATCAAGATCACGTGAAGTATTAATACCACTTTACAACGCCTTGGTAAGGCCACACTTGGAATACGGCATCCAGTTTTGGTCACCACGATGTAAAAAAGATGCTGAGACTCTAGAAAGAGTACAGAGAAGAGCAATAAAGATGATTAGGGGACTGGAGGCTAAAACATATAAGGAACGGTTGCTGGAATTGGGTATGTCTAGTTTAACGAAGAGAAGGACGAGGGGGGACAGGATAGCCGTGTTCCAGTATCTCAGGGGCTGCCCCAAAGAAGGGGGAGTCAAGCTATTTTCCAGAGCGCCTGAAGGCAGGACGAGAAGCAATGGGTGGAAACTGATCAAGGAGAGAAGCAACTTGGAACTCAGGAGAAACTTCCTGAATGTTAGAACAATTAACCAGTGGAACAACCTGCCTCCAGAAGTGGTAAATGCTCCAACACTGGAAGTTTTTAAGAAGAGACTGGACAGCCATTTGTCCGAAATGGTATAGGGTTTCCTGCTTGAGCAGGGGGTTGGACTCGATGACCTCCAAGGTCTCTTCCAACTTTATTATTATTATTATTATTATTCTTATTCTTATTCTTATTCTTATTCTTATTCTTATTCTTATTCTTATTATTCTTATTATTATTATTATTATTATTATTATTATTATTATTATTATTATTATTATTATTATTATTATTATTATTATTATTATTATAAGCCATTTGTCTGAAATGGTATAGGGTTTCCTGCTTGAGCAGGGGGTTGGACTAGATGACCTCCAAGGTCCCTTCCAAATATTATTAATATTATTATTATTATTATTATTATTATTATTATTATTATTATTATTATTATTATTATTATTATTATTATTATTATTATTATTACTCCTCCAGGTCTTCCTGTCCTCTACCATCTTCTGGAGTCCATTTAAGCTCACGCCTCCTGCTTTAGTGACTCCCTCCAGCCACCTCATTCTCCGTCGTCCCCTTCTTCTCTTGCCCTCAATCAGAAATGGCTACTTTATACTATCATGGAAAAGTAAAAAAATCAGGCTAGATGTTCATGCTTTATTCTACCGCAACAGAGGACGTGGGAACTCAATCTCTTTTTTTTTTCTTTTTTCCCCTCTCCCCCTCACTGTCCTTTCCCTTTCCCTTCCCTCTTGTGCCCTGCTATCTGCTTTGTATGTTGTATTTTACTCTATAATCTAATAAAATGTAGAAAGAGAGAGAGAGAGAGAGAGAGAGAGAGAGAGAGGGAGAGAGAGGGAGAGAGAGAGAGAGAGAGAGAGAGAGAGAGAGAGAGAAGGGGCTAGACGATGTGAATTCCGGCACCCAAGGAAGAGAAGGATCCTTCATCTGAGCAAGGACTCCTGCCAGCTTAATCTCCAGCGAGGAATTTATGGACTGGAGACAAAGTCTGAAGAACAAGGAAGGGCCAGATAATCAGGTTCAACCACCTCCTCCTCCCATTTCCCCCCTTTGGGAAGGTCAGCATAAAATCCTAAGGTCCTTCCAGGGAAACAGGGGTGGGGAAGCAACATTGCCCTCTCCTCCTGGACGTGGGACGGGAACACGCCAAGCCCGGTGATCTCACCAAGCCAGGAAGGATTCCCACGTTTTTTTTTCCTCCAGCTAGTTTGCCAGGCTGACCTTTCGGGGTTCTTGATCTCCTCCGTGACAAAATTAAGGGTGTCCCATCCCGAGTAGGAGAAGAGGGCGGAGTACAGAGCCAGCGCGATGTTGCCCACGTCCCAGGCCGATCCCTCGAACGCGTCGGCCAAATTCTCGGAATGTCCTGCGGGAGAGATTAAAAAAAAAGAATTCAAAGGTTTTGCCCCCAAATACACGGAAACACGGGGGGGAATCCTCGGCTTCTGGACCGCCCACGGGAGCCCAAAATTTCCATCGCTAAGCGAAACACTTGTTCGAGTGAGTTTTGGCCCCCTCCCGTTTTACGACTTTTCCTGCCGCCGTTGTTAAGTCCGAACCGCCGTTCTTCAGTTAGTAACGTGGGCTGTTAACGTTTCATGACCCTAACTAGGTAACATCATCAGTGCTAACGAGCAAGCTCAGAGAGCACCAAGGACCCCTCACCACTGGGAAACTTCGTTTCAACTCAGTTCGAATCTGACCCCTGACAGGGGCTCAACTTTTATCAATTGGGGTGGCAGTACCCCAGCTTCCCGGCCCCAGGGGGGGGTATGAGAATAAAAACCCCACAGCCAGAGTTTCAGTACCTTGTGCAATGCGGACGATGCCTGCAATGATCACAACAATGAGGGCTAGCACCTTGGCGTAGGTGGACAGGTCCTGGACTCGGGTTCCCCACTTCACGTAGGCACAGTTCACAAAAGTCAAGAAGCCTAAAATCAAGAGAAGAAAGTGGGGTAAAAAAGCAGAATGACTTACAAGGAAGGGTATAACTTTCTTCCTTCGACTGAGTTGTGGATCTGTGGGCTTAAGACACCATCCCCAATTACAGGTGGTCCTCACCGTACGACCACAACGGAGCCCCCCAAAAAATTTATGTTGCTAAGCGAGACAAGAGGTTAAGCGAATTTTGTGCCCCATTTTACGACCTTTCTCACCACAGTCATTAAGGCAGCGGTTCTCAACCTATGGATCGCGACCCCATTTGGGGTCGATCGACCATTTCACTGGGGTCGCCAAGCAAGGCTGTCCGCCATTTTTTTCCCCCTTTTTCGGCGGGTGCCTTACCTCCCTTGGGCTGGGCCAGCTGGTGGTCGGCCTGCTCTGTCTCTGCCGCTTGCCAGCTACGCCTCGGCCGGCGCAGGGGGCGGAACCACGCATGCGCGGCGCTCCCGGGCAGGGAAAGTTCTCGACTTACAACCGGTTGGGTAGTCCTCAACTTATGACCGGTTTAGTCCTCGACTTATGACCGGTTTAGTCCTCGACTTACGACCGGTTTAGTCCTCGACTTACGACCGGTTGGGGGTCGCGGCATTAAAAAGGTTGAGAACCACTGCATTAAGGGAATCACTGCAGGTGTGAAGTTAGTCACACGGTTGTATAGTTAATTTGGCTTCCCCGTTGATTTTATTTATTTATTTTATTTTATTTATTTATTAATTGCATTTATATCCCGCCCTTCTCCTTACGGACTCAGGGCGGCTGACAATTGAATAAAATACTAACATATATACATATACTTAATTAAAATTTGATTAAAACGAAATATTTAAATATGTCCAATTTAAAAGTAATTAAAACCCCCTTTAAAATCCCTCAGGCCAGTCCCGCTAGTTGGNCCCAACACCGCCCGCGCGGCCGCATTTTGAACTAGCTGGAGCCTCCGGGTGCTCCTCAAGGGAAGCCCCATGTAGAGAGCATTGCAGTAGTCCAGGCGGGAGGTCACAAGGGCATGAGTGACCGTGCGTAAGGCGTCCCGGTCCAGAAACGGCCGCAACTGGCGGATCAGGCGAACCTGATAAAACGCTCCCCTGGTCAAGGCCGACAACTGGTCATCCAATGTCAACCGTGAATCCAGGAGAACACCCAAGTTGCGGACCCGATCTGAGGGGGCCAAAGTTTCGCCCCCTATAGTCAGCGATGGAGTCAGCTGACTATGATTTTGTTGGCCTTAAAAGTCGCAAAGACACTACAATCGTCGTAAATAGGAGTCCAGTTGCCAAGCATCTGAACTTCGATCGCACGACCACGCTGGAACGGTCATGGGTGTGGGGAACCGGTCATAAGTCGCTTTTTTTCAGTGACGTAATTTTGAACGGTCGCTAAACAAACTGTTGTAAGTTGAGGTTGTAAGAAATTAATTGAATTTATCTCCCCTTGAATTCTGAAACTTGAAGACCCTTTCAGATGCTGTGTTGGTGTACAATGGCGGGTTTTAAAAGAAGGAGGCCATTTCTACAATAATTCTGCAGCACTCAGTTTTCTCTCCACAGAATCCAAGTGGTAAAGATAAAGTACTTAAATGACACCAGCATACCCCCTATCTACAGTATTGGCCAAAATTGTGGAAACCTTTTGGGAAAAGTGTACATCTGAGGTTTGATGGCTAATAACACCACTTTTTTTGGGAGTAGTACCATAAAATTATATATCAATAGAAAGATAATTGAATCAAGAACGTAACGCAACACAGTTTGTTCAACTATCTGTATTGTATTCTGTGAAAAGTTATAGCGAAATAACCAGAAAAAGGAAGCACAACTTGCTTAGGTTGATCTCAGGTGGCTTTCCTTCATCTGATTGTAGATCATGAGCACGAGTGTTTAGAGAGCTAATCGGGTGCCATCTTGTTTTGGCAATGAGCCAATCAGATCACGGTAGGATCCAGTTATTGATGTCCTGTATTGAAGCTGAGAGGAGGACATTTGTCAGTGTGTTATGGGATCGCTGTCGAGTTGGTTGGGGTTGTTTGGCGTTCTTTCATTTAGTGAGCTTGTAAAAAAGTAATAAAATTAAAGTAATGGTGCAAAGAGTTGACCGGTCACCCAGAAAGCCATGTAAAATAGTATTATTAAGTGAACAAGGCTACAGTTATAAAGAAATGAGAAGAAAAATGGTGGAAACTTAACCAAAGGTGGCATTTCTACTGTACACTTTTCCCAAAAGGTTTCCACAATTTGGGCCGCTACTGTACATCGCTCTTCAAAGGCCATTCTCTCCCCTATTACGCGATGAAATTTTCTCCATCGTTCCCTGACCTGAGCAAAAGGTGTCTATTCTTCAGCTGTTACAGGTGGCCCTCAACGTAGGACCGCAGCGGAGCCCAAAATTCCTGTTGCTAGCGGTGTCACCACCTGTTAAGTGAATTTTGAACCTGTTTTACGACCTTTCTTGCCGCACTTGTTAAGGGAATCCCTGCAGTTATTACTGTCATGGTTCCGACAGACGAAACTCTTCAAAAGAACTTTGAGGCGTTGTTTACCTTAAAGCATCTTTATTTTGAGTAGCGTAACTTCGGCACTGGCATAAAGGAAGCCAAAAACTGAATTCCCCTCCCCTGAGCACATAGTGTCAAAGCACAATTCCCTCCTTCAACTAGCAGTCATAAATCACATTCCCCAATTAGCTTGAAGCTGTGGGCCTCCTCTCCAGTTCTCCAGCCCCCCAATTCCTTATCAGCTCTGGTTACAATAACCTTGTTTCTCACCCTAGGTCTGGTGTTGTTATGTCTAGCTCAGGGGTAGGCAACCTTGACTCTTTTATGACTCGTGGACGTCCAACTCCCAGAATTCCTGAGCCAGCCACGCTGAGGGGAAAGGGAGAGGTTTCCAAGCTGAGCCATGGCTGGCTCAGGAATTCTGGGAGTTGGAAGTCCACGAGTCATAAAAGAGAGCCAAGGTTGCCTACTCCTGGCCTAGCTGGACTCTCGTTCACATCCCCCCTTCCCAGCATCATCTAACTCTAAAAGCAAAAGGTAAAAGATGGCTACATTTCCCTTTGTTGTCAAGGCAAAAACATCCGGTGTTGGTCACGTGGTTAAGTGGATCCGGCTTTCTCCCCCCCCCCGACGACGTTGCTTATCAGAAGGTCGAGCGTCATAAATAGGAGTCAGTTGTCCAGTTTGTGAATTTCGATCACGTGACTTTGGGGAGGCTGCAAGGGCCGTTAAGTGTGAAAAATGGCCATGTCGCTTCTTTCCGGTGCCGTTGTAAACTTCGGCCGCTAAACGAACTGTTGTAAATCGAGGATTGCCTACACCAGTGATGATGGTGAACCTTTTAGAGACCGAGTGCCCAAACTGCAACCCAAAACCCACTTATTTATTGCAAAGCGCCAGGGGCGCATCAGCATTATGGTGCCCTCAGGGGGGGGAGCAGGGAGGCGCCTCTGAATGCCGCCTCTGGCACGCAAAAACCAGGGGTGCAAAAATGGGCCACCACGCTGCGAGGCGCAAAAATGGCCACCGGCGCGCCGTGGGGTGCAGGTACAAGGCGCTGCATCACGCAAGAACGGGGCAGGGTTGGTATCACGCAGGCACTAGCCCTGCCCCATTTGCAGTGCGTGCGTGCTCGCGGCCCCGAGCGCGCATGCGGGCGGGGCTCCTGCTCCAGGCGGCGGTGCAGCCTGATGGACCTGCTGCTGGCGGCGGCACGCATGCCAACAGAGAGGGCTCTGAGTGCCGCCTCTGGCACGCGTGCCATAGGTTCGCCACCACTGGCCTACACAATGAATGGCAGCAGCTGCTCGCAAGCCCAAGAGCCCGCGGTCTTCTTTCCCCCAAAGCAGCTCTTGAATCCGAAACCGTGATGCGTTTGCTTTGATCAAAATTCAAAAATGGATGGAAGCTACTGGGGGGGGGCTTCATCCTGGCCACAGTGACTCCTGGACTTTTGCCCTATCTTGGATTTCTCCCTTAGGTCCTGTTTCTTTAATCCTTCTGAATTGTGATGCAATCACACCGCAAAGACAGGGAGCTGAGTTAGTTAACCAGCTAACTGGGAGGGGTGGATGGACTGGGAGAGATAACTGGTAGGTCGGGTTGATAAGACACAAAGTCCTAGATAATAAGAGATTTATTTTTTTTCTTAAGCCTGCAGTACTTATCCACCCTGGGGGTTTCTCCGGGCCTGGGGAGTACAAATCCCATCATTCGCAGCCAAGCCAGTCTTGCAGGGCTGGCGGTAAACCTTTCGATACGTCAAGAGAGAAAGGATTGCGGCATTTTCTCTGCGGTTCTCAAAACTGGGGAAGAAATCGGCCCTAGATGTTTGGAATTAATGAAGCGGGGAGCGAGGTTTGGCCCCTACATTTGGTGGCCCCGGAAGGGGCATAAGCTGCAGGCAGTCCTCGAACGTACGACCGCGGTTGCTAAGCGAGACAGATGTCCAGCGACTTTCGTCCCCATTCTACGACCTTGCTTGCCACAGTTGTTACGTGAATGGGTGCAGTTGTTTAAGTTGTTAAGTGATTCTGGTTTCCCCGTTGACTTTGCTTGTCTGGAGGTCGCAAAAGGGGATTCCAGGACACACACACACCCTGCCTGGGACGCTGCAACCGTCATAAAGATGAGCCAGTTGCCCAGCGTCCGGATTTTGATCACATGATCGTGGGGGATGCTGCAACGGTCGCTAGCTGTGGAAAAGGGTAAGAAGTCACTTTTCTCAGTGCCGTTCTAACTTCGAACGGTCACTAAATGAATGGTTGCAAGTCGAGGACTGCCTGTATTGGGGAGAGAACCTCCTTCTTTTCCTCATCTATTCAGGCCTCTAAGAATAGGATAGGATAGGATAGGATAGGATAGGATAGGATAGGATAGGATAGGATAGGATAGGATAGGATAGGAATAAGGAATAGGACAGGACAGGACAGGATAGGATAGGATAGAATAACAGGAGAGGAGAGGAGAGGAGAGGAGAGAGAAGAGAAGAGAAGA